AGACTAAAATTCAAAACTTTTTTTTACATTGCAAGACAGGATGGTTTTTTTCCTTTTTATCCATCTTATCTCATCAACAAATATTTTGAAATTTTCTGGGAAAAAGATTTTTCAACCTACCTACCGACTTAATAATTTTACCCTGAGTTGGGAGAGGGCAAACAAACATTATAATCAAGACGGTCTTGCCAACTTGTTTTGACATTATATTGTCTGACTTACTTTCATATTTTCATTAGATACTTTAATATCATTTATTAAATATGAGTTTGCCTTTTTACTTAAATTATACATAAAAAAAAAAAATAAACAAATGTTTTGAATTTGAACATATTTTAGTGAATAAATCAAAGGGATTGGAAACAATTACAGGCCATCAAAAGATTTGTGAGAATTGTTAGAAACTCACTTGTTTTATTTCATATTTAGAATAAAGTAACTAGAAGCCTAATTTTTCTTTCCATGGCAACATGTTAATTTACCTGTCTCTGAGTTAATTGCAGAAGTTCTATTTAATTATCAAAAAGAAATTTAAATACTTGACGTATATTCATATAACATAACAATTTGTTCAATTTGGTAAAACATGTTCTTAGATGATCTTCTCTGTTATTTGTGATTAATGGGGGGGGGGGGTGTCATACAATAATTTCTAGAAAGCTGTACATTTACCCATGAATTTTTTTTTATTCTCATAAAACCTTAGAATATATAGTTTATTTAATGATACATGGTTACAAATATATCAGTTGTCAAAATGGTGAAAAATTTCATTGAATATGACTAAAAAAGTCAATTTTGGCAAATTGCCAATTTTCATGCAATAATTTCTAGAAAGTTTTTGATTTACCCGTAATTTTTTTTTATTCTCATAAAACCTTAGAATATATAGTTTATTTAATGATACATGGTCACAAATATATCAGTTGTCAAAATGGTGAAAAAATAAATTGAATATGACTTAAAATATTCAAATTTGGCAAATTGCCAATTTTCATGCAATAATTTCTAGGAAGTTTTTGATTTACCCATTTATTTTTTTTTATTCTCATAAAACCTTGGAATATATAGTTTATGAAATGATACATGGTTTCAAATACATCAGTTGTCAAAATGGTGAAAAATTTCATTGAATATGACTAAAAGAGTCAATTTTGGCAAATTGCCAATTTTCATGCAATAATTTCTAGAAAGTTTTTGATTTACCCATAAATTTTTTTTATTCTCATAAAACCTTAGAATATATAGTTTATTTAATGATACATGGTTACAAATATATCAGTTGTCAAAATGGTGAAAAATTTCATTGAATATGACCAAAAAAGCCAAATTTGGCAAATTGCCAACTTGCTATCAGCCTAAATGCTGCGAAGAAAATTCGCTTAATATCCATTCAAATATCTTGAATGAAATTTATTTCTGAGATTTAAGTAATATGAGCTCAGAGAATATAATTTTCATGTGAATTTACACTAATTTATTGAATGTGCACTAATTTAATTTAAAACAGAGCAAAATTTGCTTAATCGGAGGGTTCTAAATATAACATCTTTGTTACCATGGCAACCAAATTGAAAAGTTAGACTTTAACATCATATTTATTAAAGATATGCCAAATGTAGTAAATGGTGTGAAATTCAGCTAAATCGGAGACATGTCATGTCCACGACCCTATCTAAAATTTTGATTTTTATAGAGAATTGATATTAAAATATTTTCTTTTACAGTTTTTCATTTTGCATAACTTATTACATTTTTGTTTACTAAAAGCAAGAACATTCATGAATAGTTCATGAACATTCCTAAATAACTTTTACAAATTATTCAAGAATAGTTCATGAAAATGCATTGAACCTATTAATATCATTCATGAACTTTTCTTGAAAGTTCATGAATATAATTCATGAACTTTTCTTGAAAGTTCAAGAATTATTCTTGATCATTTTGCAGGCATTTAAAAAATCCAAGTTTGTTCATGAACAACAAATAATTCTTGAATATTCTTGAACTTGGTTTTCATGAATAAAATCCATGAAATCATGAGTGTCCAATTTTAACTTCATGGGATCTTCATGAACAATTCATGAGCTGATTCAAGAATATAATTCATGAACTTTTCGTAAAAGTTCAAGAATTATTCTTGATCATTTCGCAGGGGATGTGAGTACATTTCACCAAGATGTGCCCTTTATATTTGACTTTTTACATAGAAATGTATTTGAAATAGATTAAAATTACCATTTAACACTTTTTTGCTGGTATATTTATCATCTTGAGTTGTAAGAATTGCATTTGTTTTATGTGTAAGAAACAATATGGGGTTAAGGTGGTTGACCGAGAATTGGTGAGGTCTCTTATTTGGCCATAACTTTTTTATTTTTCAATGAATCAAGACATATTTGGTATATTTTTACTCAGAATTGCATGTTCTTTTTGAATTGAGCAAGGTTTATTACTTGCAAGACAAACTTTGAAAGTTAAAGGTGGCAGAGGATAGTTTCGAATAAAGTACCGGTCAAAAAATAGAAAAAAATAGAGTAACCTGAGGTTTGAATGCATATTATAGGTAATTTTTAGCTAGAATATTTTATGGGTGCATTTGGAGGGAATTGGTGGCCTTGTATATTTTATTGAAATATGACACTTTAGTGTCACTACTACTGTATATGGGATATGGACTAGAAATACGAAACTAAGCTCAAAACTCGCTCTACCGGTATTTCACCAGAAAAGCGGGGTGGGTTCACAGGATGAATTGTAGCTTGAAAACGAGGTGGTTGAGCCATTATGTCTTGCTGTTCATTGGTATGTACAAATGTTATTCTGCAATTTGTGTGGTAGCTTAGGTCAGGCGCACGGGCTTGGAAGCAGATGCAGCTGCGGCGAAATAGTGAAAATAGGCTTGATTCACATGAAATATTGAGATTGTCCCTGCGCCATCTTTAGGGCTTATTGTGTAAGTTGTACATGTTTTATTCCTAAAAGCTTCAAATTTCTCAAGGGACTACATCATACTATTATTACATGTAGAGGGAATTTAAAATTTTTCAATGCACATTTTTAAAGCAGCTCAATATTAAGTAAACCGTCAGTCAAACGTTTTGATTGCAAAAAAAAACTATCCTCTGCCACCATTACTACATGGTTCTTGGATATTTAAATCTGAATTGTTTCGTGTCAGTGATTCCTGCCGACTGCCCATCTAGTGCGCCCACTTTCTTTGGGAAAATCTGAACTGCAAATCTTCCAGTTTCATGAAATAGAATGTAATCTGTGTAGACTTGTTTATGTTGGTGAAACCAAGGGATCACTTAATTAATTTAAAGAATATCAGGTCATCGATTTCCAATAAAGCATGGTGGTCAGCAGCTTTTATACAAACATTTTAATTCACCTGATCATTTTATTTTGTCAATGAAAGTTACAATTCTCGAAAAGATTTATCACCACAAAAATATTCCGTCGCTGAGTACACCTTTCTGTAGACAACGAGGAGAATTTTGGATTTGAAAACTAGGGATGTAATGACAATGTCGATAGTGTTGGAAATCTTTCCAGTCCACAGTGTAACAAAGTAAATGTGATGGGACATTTTAACCATACACAGAGATGTTAGCGTGGTCATGGGCATCGCTCTTACAATAAACCTGCAATACACGCTATCTCTTTTGAATCATTACTACCTTATGTATATCAACAGTTAGTTCTACATCATATTCGCACCAAACTTTATTCTGTCCCTTTGAAACTTTTAAATAGTCTTCTTGAAAAAGCCAAGGAAAGTCCAACTTTTTATTCCTCGACACCAGAATACTGGCTCGGATTTGTGATTATTGATACTCAGTATTGCAATCATAAGCTTTTTAAACCCGCACGTTTTACTGAATAAAATGCAGCTAAAACAAAAAGCACACGGCGGGTGTGACCAGTCGGCAGCGGATGCTCATTCCCCCATTGTAGTGTAGCGGCTTAGATCAAAATTTCAGCAAAATAGTTCACTTGTGGATACAAGCATGAAATTTGGTACAAATGTCTATCTGATACTACTAAATCTAAAAACATCGTTGGCCACCGCGATTTCCGCCATTTTCAAGATGGCCACCACTAAAACAAAATGGCGACATTTTCAGGCAGTTTGGCCTCACATACATTCTCTGACAACCAAATTAATTATACTTTGGACGCTTGAATATATCTAAAAAGTTTAAAAAGTCTATAAAAATCATATTTTAACTTAATTGCTATAAATATAAAGACAAAATGATTTTCTTATCACACAAAATATCGTTCCCTATTGTAGAAATTAACGACATTATCACAGTAGCAAGAAGCCACTTTTTAAAAACTTGGAACAGATATTTTACTAAAAGCCTTGCAAGCAGGCGTTCCCTCACTATCGTGGGCCTGAATACCAAGTAAAATAATTCCTCAAGAAACATAAAATATCATGGAATGAAACACTCCTCAAACGCACGTAAAATCTCAATAAATAAAATAATCCTTCGGAGAACATAAAATAGCACTGAGTGAAATATTCTTTCAAACAACCTTTAATTTTAATGAGTGAAATAATCCTTTAAGAAACGTTAAAAAAAGGAAATGAATCAATGTTGTATTTATGACATAAAACAACAGGTAACTACTCACTATCCATAATGAAGAATGCGATGGACTGTGAAGTCAGCACCATCCTTTTAAAATCTAAGACAAACGCCTGTGATGGCTAAAAAAGCCGCTTGTAACCAACAGATACGACGAGAATGACTGGAAATTTATGGTGAAGATAGATATGTTGGAAAAACCCCTACATAAACAAATACATGGGCGCAGACATTTTGGACACCCAAAGTTGTGCGGAGGAGAAAATGCTAGCTGGCGCGTGATTGGTCAATAAGAGAAAAGACTTGTTATGTATTTGACAAGTGAAATAAAGTTGATAAAAATCTCATATCAAGACTTGGGTTTCTTTGAGGTATATAGGAGTTACAGGTAAAAATTTGAAGGGAGGAATGCACTTTGGTTAGAGATTTTCATTTGGTGTCAAACGCACCTAGTTGTAAACAAATGGAAATTGAAAGTAAAAGTGCAACGGCACGGTATATTTTTTCTGGCATTTTTTGTTTTCCAATATCTCGAACTTTCACGACAAAAAGGTCATTTGCCCGAAATTCAATACATGTATCAGTGAGAGGGGCTAAAGTTTGTATGGAAGTCTATGGGAAAACATTTGGTGGTGTTTGTCCTATAGAATAGGTATGATTTCATGGATAAAAAATGATTACAGCCAAAAAATCAATCAGTTCCTATTTTTTTGGCATTGGGATTATATTTTAGTTTGTTTTGACTATTTGTTTAAAAATTAGAGGGTTTGGGTAAATTGAGGCTCACAATGGGGACTGCACATAGTGAAAAAATGCCAAAGTTTTTGCCCTAGCTCTCATATTTTCAATAAATGTTCATGTAAATAATTTTAAATAAATATTTATACAGAAATTTACTGTGAATATTGTAAATAATACAATATCAATATTTATGGGCATCATCAATACACAAAACATATGAATATCCCCCTCGCAGTTTGAGAAATTCATTTAAATCCATGTGTTTTTTGAGTGTAGACATTGGAACAGATTGAGTAATCTTCTTTCAAATTTGTGTTAATCAGAGTTGATTGAATAATTTATAACAAAATTTGACTGCTGTTAACTAATTAGGTTACTTTGTTTTTACATAAGGGGCATAATCCAGCAGAAAAGCCAGTTTTAGTCATGTAATCAGTGCTGGCTTGAAATAAAAGTTATACTTTTGGTGAAACTTAGGGATTACTTGTAGGAAATTTCATTGAAATTACAGTACAATATATTTTTGCAGAAAATACATTGAAAATGCAATAAATATGCAAAATTATAACTGAAAAAAATATGAAAAAAGGTGTCTGAATATCCCTCCTCCTTGCCATATCTTGATATTCTGCTGAAAAGGGGGGGGGGGTAATTTTGTGCTCTAATCATGCTGAAAAATGAAGGAATTTTGTTTAAATGTGGTTTATTTGAATAACAAGAGTCATGTTTATCTGCAGTTATTTTTTTTTTTCAATTTCTTTGATATTTTTTAAAATAATTATCTGAGTAAATTCTATTTTAACATGATTATTTTAAAGGAATTACATCACAAATGCTTAAAAAAATTCAAAAGATGGTGTAAATAATAAAAAAATTATTATATAAGCTACTAGATGCATTTATCAGTATGTTTTAATAAAATAAAATGTATTTCAGCAATGCATTATCAAGAAGGAAGAGATTAATGAACCCTACCCTCTTACAATGAACAACACATGGACACTCTCGGGATGATCCCTCTGCTTTCATTAAGAGTTCCAAGGTATGATTTTCTGAGAAAATCTAGTTAATCTCTTAATATTTAAGTTATTTAGAACTTTTTATGGATGATCAGAAAATAAATTTCCTCAGAACTGCAGTTATTTAAACATTTTGCGTACAATTGAGCACTGTATTCAGTCAGACAATATGATTTATCTGCCCTTGGCATTTAATCAATTTATTAATTATGTCAATAATAAGAAATGATATGCAAATAAATATATTTGCCTTTTATGAGAATATACATATTTAACATCAATTACATGAAATGTTCATGAAAATTGGCTAAAATGTAGGTCACCCCCCTTCAAAATTACAAAATTTTCAGTGGGGATGTATTTGATTCTCTGATGCCATCAACCCACTGCTGATAGAATTTGTTTTAATCTTATGTACATTTGAACTAGATATAATTCTCTTTCTTTCCATTGATTATTTTATCTACATTAGTTTTCACTCTTTCCATAACCCAGCTTTTTCTTACAAAAACCTGCTGATTTTCTTCATTTTTCATTAATAACGGGTACCTGCTACCCTGAATGATTAACATGATCTACCTTGAGAAATTATTAGAGATAATAAGAAAAACAAGCAAAACATATGCTAGATTAATCATTTTATTTGAAAAGTTTGAAAGAAAAATAGAAAAATATTTCAATTCATAGACATCTTTTCTGTTTCACAGATATTGGTCTGATTGACTGGGGTGTGAAATGTAACAGCCAGTGGTGTACTTAAGCTAAGACTGTCAGTCCCAATATTCAAGAGGTGAGATAAGCAATGGATATGTGCTCTAAATTTACTAAATTGACCACTTTTTATAAATGTTTCTTTTACTCTATATAGTCAATATGTTCAATGGGTTGCATATTGAAATGGCAGCTTAAAAACTGCTTGGTGATTTGTTGAAAGGAAGCGGCTGGATGACTGCATTGATTCAAGCAGAAGTTGCATATTCTGGAACTGCTGAGTCTTTCCTAGCATTTTTTTAATCTTGCTAAAACAAGACAAGATAGTCAAATTACTGCCTGCTGTCTGTATGACTTGATAAAAAGGCAGACCAAAACGCAAAGGAACTCAATAATTGTGATGAAATTGAAATAGATGATCTATTTTTCTTGGAGTTCAAAACAAAAAAAAAAGATTTCACAATTTAAATTTTGGTAAAGAATTCTGTTGGAACTCGTTGTCTTTCTTTTGTAAGGTCCTGCAGAGAATCAGATGTTAGGCTTTACTAAGAACACTAGTAATTGCCGTTGGTCATATCAAATTTGTTCGATGGGTACCATTTCACCTTTGGGTGCAATGTCAAAACACCCGGACATATGTTTAGTGATAAATGAAAAAAAGAATTTACTTATATAGAAAAAATAATAGTTTTCAAACTTTGCCATTGGTCAAGTCCATGAGCATAACAATGCTATTTGTAAAAAGTGATGGTTACATGTAACAGAAGATCAGGTGATGGTTAGTGGAAGTTCCAGTTGCATTAACGGTGGTAGCTGGTCCAGAAATCAGCAAACTTACTAAAGAGTCGAGTTCACATGAATATGTTGATATGTTCAAGAGAAGAAGAAAAACATCACAAAGAAAGTCATGCTGCTCAAGAAAGTTTATTTTCACAAGTAAATCGGGCTATGCCTACATGTATAAGGCTGTTTAAAGTTAATTCTACGTTTAACGTCACATCTAAAGTTCAAAACCTACGAGGGAGGGAGGAAAAAAATAAACAAACAAAATTTTCAAACAATTGTGAATTTATTCAAACTAACCTATTCACTACATTAAAAACATTACAATTAAGTAATAAAGAGCATTTAATTGATATGACACCTAAGATTAATTTCCATAGCAGATTTTTTTCTTAGTATGTAAATCAGTTTGAGTCCTATTGTTAGCAAACAATGTATTCTAAGACTGAATGTGCAGGAAAGTGACTTTTAACTAGGCCTCAATTGTCCTTTGGATTTATATTGCCACACGTCCATGGTACCCTGGAGGCAAATGCTTCTTCTTGTGGGAATAGTTGATCAATATCTACAATTAAAATTATTGATGACAATATTTAAAACTGTTCATGTTGAAATATCTCAAATTGAATTATGTTGTATTTTTTCTTAGTACTAGATCTACTAGCATTAAGTTTTGAAAGTGTGAATACTAATATCTGGACCATAATGATAGCTGTTAGATCATTTTTAATACCTTGAATTCCACACTAAGGACAGGATTCTTCACATCTTGGAATACCCCAACTTCTTTCCTTACTCTCCTTCACTTGAAAGGCCCTATCTTCGGTAAGCTTCTCCCTGCTCAAATGGTTAAGACAAGTATTATCTTTTCCAAAAATTGTAGCCATTTGTAGGTACATGAATTATGAAGAAATCAATTACTTTACTCATTACTGTTCCTTTTGATTTTTACAGAAATATTTTTAATATGAAACATATCAAATAAGATTTGAATGATGCTTTTCACTGTATATAGATCTTGGTTTTTTGACACACTTTCCACTCGGTAAAAAAGTTTTTCGATTCTCTCCAAAATACAATGAAAAGTTCAGCCAATAGAATCACGAACTGAGAGTCCGTCACTGTCAGTTTGAACATGTGATTCGAAGACTGACAAAAAAAAATCAACAAACTAGACTTTGTCATTAACTTCAATCATAAAATCATCTATTTTTTACTTACATTTATGGTCCCAAACTCTTTAATTCACTAGTTTTCTTTAATAAGACACCAACTGCCTTTATCAATGCACATATTCTGTCACTACGGGAAACAGAATTCAGTCGCTAATTGAAGAACCAAAGCGGAACAGACATACGGAATTCCGAATTGTTTGTTTTTTTCAAAGACGAATTTCTCATAAACCTACGCGCGCGGGTGACGTTAAACGTAGTTTTAATTTTAAACAGCCTAATTTTGGAAATTGGAAATCCATTTGAGGAAGAGTTGCTTGATCTTTATAGTCATTGTCGAAACTGAAAGTGCAGGATTTTTATAGTTGTTGTCGAAACTGATGAAACTGCAGGATGAAATATTAAAAAAGGGATACATTGGGAAAGAACAATATTGGGTATTCCTTTTAAGAGTATCTGAAGGTGATACTCAAAGTTTTATGAACTTGTTCAGAAGGATAGATTTCGCATATTCAGTCCAAAACAAAATTCTGTTTCTTCAAAGTAAAAGTTGGCAAATTTTGAAGATGACTATAGCAGTTTTTCTATGTTATTTATTTTCTGTCACAGTAGGCATGCAGTGCGATGTACAAGAACTTTCTGATCATGAAATCAGGAAAAGAGTTGCCAAATAATGTACTGACAGAAGATTGTCAGTTATATCATTGAAACAGCTTTTGTAATTGACAGTGCATCATTCGTCAATTCTAAATAACCTGAAATTTTAACTAATATGCCAATGTCATTATCCTTCTGCACATTAATTATCTTGTAAAAGGTAATTTGAGGGTAGACACTATCTTTCGAGTTCAGAAAGAGGATAGTTTTAAGGCAGAATCTGAAAAGAAATGTGGCATGGGTCTAGAGGAAAAGTAACTGGCAACACTAGACCACCAAAGTCATGGAACACTTTCCTTCAGTGTGACAAGAACAAAACTGAATTGGAGAGGGGAGGTAGCAGACAGAATTATATTCACGATTACAGAGGCAACTATCATTGTAGTAAAGGGAAAAAAACTGTCAGTATAAGCAAAGCTATATATACCAACTTTATACCGCTTTGCTAACATGAAGAAGCTGACAAACGTATGTTCCTTCATGCAAAATATGCAGCACCGGGTGGTAGCAGCACAGATCAATCTACATGGTTAGTTCGGATACAGAAGTTGTTGTGTAACTCTTTTTGATCAATTAAATGTGGATCAGTAATGGATGACATTTTGAAAGGGCAAGGATTTGAGATGAAAAACAATTTATGATGTTGTTAGATCACTGGAACCATATCAAATGCATTACCATTCTTTCATGCATTCATGGGTTGTGATACAGTATCGGCCATTGTTTGGAAAGGTTAAAAGACAGCATGACAGGTCATGAATATGTTTGAGAACGCCAAAGAAATATTCAAATCCTATTCTGAAGCACCCCTTGTCAAACCTTTAATCAATGCACTGGGAGAAATTTGTTGTCATCATGTACAATCAGCACTGCGATGCCTTGATCCCTTCCCTAAAGAGCTGCTCTTGTAAAGCAGATTTAATTGGAGACCTGGATTGCATGATGGTCATTCATAGGGTCAGTCACTATTAGTATGCAAGTGACTAACTTTACCCTCACCTTCCAGTTAGGGTTGAGTAAAAAAAAAAAACGTGGATTTTGTGCCCCACACTGTACATTCTTGCCAGCAATTGTGCATCATGTCAAGAACTACTAAAATGTTGGTGTAATATAACTTCAACTGCTTCAGGTCCGGATTACCTTACATTGCTTTATGCAGCTATACACGTTTCAGAAGATTGATTCAGTCATGTCTTAAAACAGCTTTTGTTTGTATTTAAGCGCATGCGCAGTGTATGTATATATAGAATGGAGCTCAAATTATATCATGTACCAAGTTCCCTTTTATTATTGAAGAAAAAATGAAAGTATTACCGAGGAAGGATGAAAATTTTGTGAAAAATTATGAAAAAAGGCGCCATTTTGAAAAAAGTGGCGGCCATCTTGAAAATGGCCGAAACTTGAGTGGCCAACGATATTTCTTTTTTCAGTAATAGTCAAAGAACCTTCATGCAAAATTTGATGCTTGTATCCGCAAGTGAAATATTTTCCCCACTATCCGCTCCGCTATTGCACATGTTCCCACCTCCAATGTTTTGGAGGTTCTTGTTTGCTCTGCTCCTATTTTGTATTGTTTACAGACTTTTGGTCTTGAATGCCGTTTGTTTTCTCAATTTGTTTCATGTATATATACTAAGCCAAGTAAAAGTGACCTAGGACCCCCCCCCCCCCTTCCCTACAAAGTGGAGACCCCTCCTGGAAAACACGGATCTAGGTGATATTGGAATGTTTGAAATTCATCCACGAAATACCCCCCCCCCCCCAACCGCCACTGCAATCGCTGGTTAATATCAACAAGAGGCCCACGGGCCTTATAGGTCACCTGAATATCATGTACCAACTTTCAAATAATTGAATTTAGTTCGTGTTATAAACCAGAGGCCATGAAATTCACAATTTTGAAAGAGGCACAATTGCTTATCATTATAAACTTTCCATGCTTACTCTATTTACTTAATACCTAGAGTTAGATCAGAGTAGCAGAGAAAATGCACTTCCACTTTGAAACCAGTTGTGCACCCCACCCTAAAGGATACACTGACCCTGGAGCCACATATTTCAAAATTTTGGAAATTTTATCATAAATTTCATTCTATCATTAATGGTTGATTAATACCAAAGAGCAGATTTCAAAGCATTAATTTATTTTCAGACTATGTATTCCCCTCCCCTCCCCTTACACCTCTGACCCAAGGAGCATGAAATTAATCATTTTGCTTGATGCACCTTTCATCATATGTACTTGGATCATTAACTACTACCCAGGAGAAAAGATTTCCAAAGAATTAGTGTATTCAAAAGAGCCCACACCCCTACACCAAATGGCAAAACCTCTGACACAGGGGCCATAAAATTCACAATTATGGAAGAGGCATTATAACTTTATAGGAGTATTTTAAATCTTTGGACTTTCAGTAGGCGTGACCTTTTCGGCGCTACGTAATGGCGAATACTAGTCGACTCTCAATGGTTACGAAATTAATAACATCAGGAACTTAAAATTGTTGATAACGATCAGACGACTTATGTCCCACCTCTGTGCCGTGAGAGCACTTTTAATTGGCTATTTACTACACCAGTTGACATTCGGCCGCATTACTATCATATGTATATTTCAACAGTGAAGGGAAGCTGTGTTAATTTCAGAAGCTAATTAATTAACGTCGAGAATGCCACGCCTTATTGAAAGTCCAAACTAAGCGTGTAATTCGTCTATTAAGTTAGTTTATTAAATACCCAGGAGTAGAGAAGAAGATTTTCAAAGAATTCATGCATTTTCACAATATATTGAATAGAGCCCCACCCTTACACCAGAACTCCTGACCCTGGGGCCATGCAATTCACAATTTTGGAAGAGGCACTCTTGCTTATCATAACTATGTACTTAATTTATTTAATACCCAGAAGCAGAATAGAAGATTTTCAAAGAATTAATGCATTTTCACTAAATAAACAATAGAGCCCCGCCCTAACACCAGAACCCCTGACCCTGGGGCCATAAACTTACAAAATGTTAAAAAAGGAACTCTTACTCATTATAACTATGTACTTATTTAGCTTATTTAATTCCCTGGAGCAGATGAGAAGATTATCAAAGAATTTATGCATTTTCATTATATAATCAATAGAGCACCGCCCTAACACCAGAACCCCTCACCCTGGGGCCATAAAATTCACAAGTTTGGAAGAGGCACTCTTGCTCATCATAACTATGAACTTAGTTTATTTAATATCCAGGAGCAGAGAAGAAGATTTTCAAAGAAATAATGCATTTTCACTATATAATCTAAATAGCCCCGCCCTAGCTCTAGAACCCCTAACCCTTGGGCCATGAATTTCACAATTTTGGTGGAGGACTCAGTGCTCATTACATTCATGCTAACAGTTTGTCTGCTTGATGTCCAGGAGTAAAGAAGTAAATTTTTAAAGATTTCAATAATTTTAGTGGTTTTGGCCTCAACCCTCAAGTTCCGGGGGTGGGGGGGTGGGGAGAACCATGTAATTCACAGGTTTTGTTCCCCTTCACCCATAAATACTGTATACAAAATTTGGTTGAAATTGGTTCAGTGGTTAAAGAGAAGAAGCTAAAAATGTTCAAATGTTAACACATGACGGACGAAAACGGATAGCAATAGGTCACCTGAGTGACCTAAAAACATAAAAATGTCCGGATCGGAGAAGTACAAGTAGAAACATCTGGTTTAAATTCTATCAACCAATTTTGCAGAAAAGTGTTACAGTCTGATGTCGGATGAGACCGTATAAACCGAGGTCCCGTGTCGCAGTAGGTGCTGGCACAAAAAAGATCCATCCCTGTTCAATAGCCCTAAGTGCCGAACATAGGACAGAATTTGCACTCTCTGAGAGAGGAACGAACGATAACTCTGCATGGGAGATTGCAAATTTTGCAGCTCTCCAGCGGCAAGTGGTGGTGTCTCCATATGAGTGAAAAATTCTCAAGAGGGACGTTAAACAATAATTTAAAAAATCAATCAGTGATGAAGAAGGTTTGACGCTGTATCAAACCAGAAGTCTCTGTTGAGACTGTAGCTCTACTGGTTTGTGCTTATAACAAAGGATGAGAAAAGAAGCCATTGCCATCAGACCAAAACTGTAGAAGGAGTAGCGTTTTAAAGGAATTTCACACATTTCAATTTTAAGTAACATTGGCAACACTGTTCATCAAAATCAAAAACTGATGAACTACTCTATATATCTTAATGTAGTCTACCTGTGTGCCTAGTTATATTGCAATCAGACCAAAACTGTAGGAGGAGTAGCGTTTTAAAGGAATTTCACAGGAAATTTCTTTTTTATTAACCATGGCAACACCGTTCATCGAAATCAAAATCTGATGCACTGTTCTTTGTATAATAGTGTAGACTACTTGTGTGCCAAGATATATTGAAATCAGATCAAAATTATACGAGGAGAAGAGTTTTCAAGAAATTTCACAGAAAATTCTATTTTTGGTAACCATGACAACACCGTTCATTGAAAT